ACTTAAATAGCTCATATTTATTTAGTTATTGATTGATTGATTGATTGATTGATTTATATTTTGGTCTTTTTGAGAAAGGGTCACCCTGTATCCCCAGTGGGCCTGGAACTTGCTATATAGACCTGACTGGACTTGAACTCACAGTGAACTCAGATTGCCTCTGCCTCCTGAGTGCTGGGATTAAAGGCATGTGCCACTCCACCTAGCTTATTATTATTTTTAATTATGTGTATGTGTATGAATGGTTTGATGTGGGTGCTGGAAATTGAACTCCGGTCTTCTGCAAGAGCAGCAATACTCTTAACCTCAGAGTCATTGCTCCAGCCCTAAAAAAAAAAAAAGAAGTCGGGAGCCAAAGGCTGAGAGTGAGCCTGCAGGATGGGGTTGTTAGGACCGAGGAGGGTGAAGCACAGCCCAAGCAGGTGGTGTACAGCTCAGAGCCAGTGCTTTCAAGATGCAAGGGAGTACAAGCCTGAACCTGAAGTGCAGAGGGAGGCCACCAGCTCAATCTGTTCTGAGATCTGAGTGCTGGGGCAGAAGAAAGCCACTTGAAGGGATGGTGGGATGGGCATCAGGAGCAGCTGCCGAGGTGGGGGGCGGGTGTGGGTTGTGATTGGTATTGAGAATTCACGGAGGATTGATTCCAAGGTGGGGCTGGAGGTAGAGAAGAGTCAGGTTAGGCAGTGGCAGAGACTCTGGGTGGAAGCTCTGACTTCTCTTGAGTTTCGACTTAGTGAGCAGAAGGGCCAGAAGTGAGTTAATCCTACAGTTTCTTTCAGTGGAGTCCAGAGAAATGGTTATTGAAGATGAGCTGGAAAATGAATTTCAAACTGAAATCACAAAGTGCTTAAAATAAGGAAAACACCCTATGATTGGATGATACTTTATAATTTGCATAATTTAGAATTTACATATTTTGTTGTATTCCCCTTTATTTTACCTTTTCCACAGCCTCTTACTTCCTTCTCTTTATTTTTGTTTTAATGTAGCCCAGGCTGGTCTGGGACTTGCCTGCCTTCACTTCCAGAGCTAGCTGGGATTACAGACATGTGCTACTGCATCTAGTTTACTGGTTGCTAGTGATCAAACCCAGGGCTTCATGCATCCTAGGCAATCACTTTACCGACTGCTATCCCCAGCCCATTAGTGTAGTTTTGAGTTGAAAACAAAGACCCTCTGTAGACTGTTGATTTTGCATCAGACTACTCTTTTGTGCTTCTTTTCAATATGCAGGGAGATAATGTTTTTCCCAAGAGGTTGCTCCAAGAGAACAAGAGGTTTCGTTTGATCTTTACGGGGCCCATACAACTGAAGCAATAATGAGGTGCAGGCTCCACTTTGGCAAGTCGAGAGAACGCTGGACAGCGAGTCATATCTACAAACAGTGAGTGTCGGAACACCCTGAATACGGCCTCTCAAAGCCTAGCTGGGTATTGGACCTCGGATGAAACTGGATAATCTTGTTCAGGGTGGTTTCAAAGCCCCTTCTTTATTTTTTTATGGGTATGAGTGTATTGCCTGTATGTATGTGAGTGCACCCGTGTCGTGCAATGCTGCGGAGGTCAGAGGGGGGCTTCGGATTCCCCTGGAACTGGAGTTAAGGACGGTTCGTAGCCACCATGTGGGTGCCGGGAATCGAACCCGGGTCCTCTGCAAGAGCAGTCAGTGCTCTTAACCGCTGAGCCATCTCTCCAGCCCCTCAAAGCCCCTTCTTAAGCTACACGATTGGTGTCATGCTGTCTAGGTTCCGAAAACCTTTTGAGAGGATATGCTTGAAAAAGGGATTAAATGTTTCTTGCTGGGTCAGATCCTGCTGGTCTCACCAGTTATAAAACTGTTTAACAGTGAAATAGCCGGTGTTCAACTAAGTCCCTCCCTCGCTATGACGCCACGAAACACACCCTATCATGTCATTGTCTCCTTACCTCTTGAGAAAGACCTATTTTCAGTGTGGGGCAAACACAGACTTGTTTTAGAGCATGTGTTATAAAGCACAAAGAAAAAGGCGGTTTTGAAAGTGTCTTCAACGTTAACATTTTTCTTAAAAAAGAAAAAGTCTGCAGGGTTGTGTGGAAGGGAATGTGCGGCCCACCACCTCAGGAGGTCTTGAGACACCCCTCGCCCCCTAGAGGAAAGTTAGCTGCTTTCACCTTGTCTCAGTCGAGAAGGCGGGGCGTGACGTAAGGTCCTGGGCGGAGCTGGACTGTTCCAAGCGCGTTCTGGGGGAAGCCTCTTTCGGGACGAGGAAATAAGCGTCGTCTTTTCCCGTTTCTCGCGCTCTTTGCGCACTTGTTTAGACTTGGGTTACGGCATACGAAGCGCGGCAGGTTTTCTCTTGCGGTGGGGACGGGATTCCTACCTCCTGCGCTTCCGACTGGTTGCGTCCACTCGGCGCAGCGTGGTCCTATTTAAAGGGATTGGAGGTGTCAGCCCCCGGGATCCCGAAGCGCGGAGGCCCCATGGCCCCGCCTGGAGGCGCCCCGCGGCTGGTACTGCTGTTTAGCGGGAAGAGGAAATCCGGGAAGGACTTTGTGACCGAGACGCTGCAGAGCAGGTGTCCGTGGGGCGGGGAAGGAGGAGGAAGGGAGCATTCGCGTCAAGTGAGGGGAGCTCTGGACCATGGGTTCTCAGGGGGCAAAACAGAATGGCAGGGTCGAAGGTGGATGTCCCCTTCGCTTGAAACAGCAGCTTGCACATGTCTCCCTCAAAGAACCAGACGACTACCTATGCAGAACCCTGAAGCTATAGGTCTCTCTTCAAGAAACAGTAATTACAGTTACTTCCCCGGCCCTTTCGGTGTGCTTTTCCTGTTTTCATGGTAGTATGTGAAATGACTGGTACAGACAGATAAGGAAACTAAAGTGAGGTAAGCCCACACCCCGAGTGGGTCTTATTCCAAAGGAAAGCTGCCCAGGACACCCCCATAACAGCGTGGATTTATTGAGAATTATATGCCAAGCACCATGCATCTGTATTACCTCAATCTTCATAACCTCTGTTAAGTGCTATATAGTGTTATTAGCACTTCCATTTCACAGATGCAGAAATGGGGGCACTTAAAAGCTAAAAGCCTGGTGTGGTGATGTGTTTGTATGAGTTCCAGCTACAGGAGGATCCTCCAGGCTGATGGAGGAGGATCACTTGAACCCAGGAGTTCAAGTCTAGAGTGGACAGCATAGTGAGATCTTGACTATTTTTTTAAAAAGTTAAAATTTGCCAGTGCCTTTTCCCTCCCCCCTCCCTTCTTCCTTCCTTCCTTCCTTCCTTCCTTCCATTTTTTTTTTAAAAGTTATTTATTGTGTGTGTGTGTGTGTGTCCAGCTTGTGCCCGAGTGTATGCATGTGGGGTGCCTGCCAGAGTTCTGGGAGACCAGAAGAGGGCACCAGATCCTCTGGAACTGGGATTGTGAGCCAACCCATGTGGGTATTGGGAAAGGAACCTGGGCTCTCTGTAAGAGCAGCAAGTTGCTCTTTACCATTGAGCTCTCCCAGCTTTTTAAACATGGGTTCTGGGGATTGAATTAAGGTAATCAGGCTTCTGAGGCTAAGTACTTTTATCCACTGAGCCATTTCCTCAGCCTGGTATTTTCTTAAGAGATAAGATATTCTGGGGAGCATTTTTGCTAAGGCCTGGACTATGAGGACAGAGGAGGGGAGAAGTTGGAGTGGGTCTCCTCTCCAAAGCCAGTGTGGTGGGAGTACCAGGAGGCTGTTTTTGGATACCACAGTGGTTCTAAAAGGTTCATGGGAGCCCAGGATAGAGATCACATCCTGAATCCTTTTATCACCAAATATCACCATCAATTCCTAAGTGTCCTTAGCCCCACACAGGGATGTCAAATAGCAGTCAGAGCCTAGACAGTGGAACTAGACTGCTGACAGTTTATGTCCTGGCTAGGCATTTATTAGTGTATGATCTAGTATAAACTTCTTGGCTTAGAACAATTCTCCAGCCAGAGCATTACCAGGCCTAGGGTTTCCCATGGCGCTTATTTTATATATAGATTCTGCCTGTTACTTTCAGGGGTCCTTTAAATTCCTTTGAATTTTATAATAATTCTGTGGAAGACAGGATAGAAGCTGTTAACTTCATTTTATAGATGAGCAAAGAGGATTAGGGAAATGGAGTCCTGTCAGAGTTTTGTAGATTCCTGTAGTACAAATGAATCTTCAAGCACCAGCCAGTGGATTCTTCTGGAGGCTGCGAATCCTGAGTTAACTGGGTGTTCATCTCTATTCCATAGACTTGGAGCTAATGTCTGTGTTGTCCTACGGCTCTCTGGTCCACTCAAGGAACAGTATGCTCAGGTAGGTGGCAGCTTGTGGCATTTGGGGATTGGATGGAGCCAGCTCTTGGGCTTTGGGGCTATAGCTGCTGTGCTGCTGAGTCAGTGGTCCCAGTGACCCAAGAAGGATATCCAATATGAGACCGTGTCTAAACAAACAAGAAAAAAAAGTCCAGGAAAGGCTGTAGATACTTGAGTTGGCAGCTCTGATGTCATGTGATTAATATGGATCTATACATATATCCCCTTACTCAAAAATGTAACACATGCACCTGACATGGTGGCACACCCCTTTAACCCCAGCACTCAGGAGGCAGAGGCAGGTGGATCTCTGTGAGTTCAAGGTTTAAGGCAAGCCTGGGCTACATAGGGAGTTCCAGGCCAGCTGGGGCTATAGGGAGGACCTGTCTCAAAAAGACCAAAAAAAAAAAGGAAACAAATTTACACAACTCCAGTAATTACTAAGTCTTAAAGTTTGGAGGTGAGGTTAATGTCACCAACACTTTATGCAAAGTACAAAGCTATCATTATTCCAGTTGTCCCAGGAAACCACTATTTCAAGACATCTCTAGGGCTGCTTCCTTCTGCTCACATTTGTCACCATTTAGCCCACCTTAATAGCGCAAGGAGATCTTGTAAAGAAAACAGGAATTCAAAACCTCAAGTCAGTTCTATCCCATCAGCCTGCAGAATTCTCCCCTTAGAAATTTAGTTGCATGAGGGCCTGGGAAGATAATGCCATAAAGTGCTTGCTGTACCCCAAGTTCTATCCCTAGCAAGCACCCACATAAAAAGTCAGCCTCAGTGGTTAACAGCAGTTGCTGCTCTTGCAGAAGACCTGGGTTAGGTTCCCAGCACTTACATGGGGGATCTGACACCCTGTTCTGGCCTCCATGGGCTCTTATGTACATACAGTATACATAAACTCATATGTACACACACATATGCCTAAATTTTTTTTTTTTTTTGGTATTTTTGAGACAGGGTCTCTCTGCAGCCCCAGCAGCTGGTCTGGAACTCACTGTGTAGACCAGTCTGGCCTTGAAGTCACAGAGATCCATCTGCCTCTGCCTCCTGGGAGCTGGGATTAAAGGTGTGTACCACCATGCCTGGCCCAAAATAAAGGCTTTTTTTTTTTTCTTTTTAAAGGCAGGCTAGCCATGTTGGTGGAGGCTTTTAATCCCAACATTTTGGGAGGCAGAAATAGGTGGATCTTTGTGAGATTGCCTGGTCTACATAGTGAGTTCTAGCTGGAACTACTGGGAAACCCTGTGTCAGAAGATGGGGGTGGGGTGTATGTGGGGGCAGTCTTGTAATTCTAGCCTTGGGGGAGGCAGAGATCTCTGGGACTTGCTGGCCAGCCAGCCTAGCAAGCACCCCCATGGATGGCTCCTGAGGAACATCTGACTTTCATATGCACAGTCTCAGACATGCACACCTCTTATGATCTGCCCCCCACAAAGAGTTAACACATGAGTTGTGGAGATATATTGTTAAGTGGTCAGAAACTAAGATGTAGCTGTCTTGGTCAGTTTTGGGTTGGTATAACAAAATACCTGAGGCTGAGTACTTTTTTTTTTTTTTTTTTTTTTTTAATTCTCATAATTTTGATGGTCAGTCATTTCTGGTTGGCTTCTGAATGGTATAGTTAAACAATATACTTAAAGACACCCTCCCTCCCAGAGGCTGAGTACTTTTTACAGAAGAGAGAGATTTATTTATCAGTCACAGTTCTGGAGCGCCAAGAACATTGTGTTGGTATCCACTTGGCTTCTAGCAAGGGCCTCATGGAGGAAGGACAGTGGGCAGAAGAGACTGAGGAAAGAGGCCTGGATCCTTTTATAGCAACCTACTTTCAGGGTGACAGGTCCAGTCTTGCGAGAATGAGAACTCATTAATCCTGCCTAAGATCCCCAGTACTGCTAAGAGTCACCATATCTCAATACTACCACATTGGGGACAAACCTTAACATGAGATTTGGTGGGGACAAACAATATTCAAAACATAACAGTGACTGAGAATTATGAAAGAATTAGAGCTGGGTATGGTGGTACACCCTTTTATTCCCAGCACTTGGGAGGCAGAGGCAGAGAATCTCTGTAAGATCAAGGCCAGCCTGGTCGACATAGCAAGTACCAGGTCAGCTGGGGCTACAGGGAGACCTTCTCTCAAAAAACAAAAACAAAACAAAAAAAGAATTATATGTGTTGGTACACATCTTTAATTCCAGCACTCTAGAGGCAAAGGCTGGTGGATCTCTGTGAATTTGAGGCCAGTCTGGTCTACATAGCGAGTTTCAGGCTAACCAGGACTACATAGTGAGACTTTGTCTAAAACAAAGTGTAAATAGGGGCTGGAGAGATGGCTCAGAGGTTAAGAGCACTGGCTGCTCTTGGAGAGCACCTGGGTTCAATCCTCAGTACGCACATGGTGGCTAATAACTGTCCATAACTCCAGTTCCAGGGGATCTGATGCCCTCTTCTGACTTTGATGGGCATTGCACAACACGAGTACACTTACTTGCATGGAGGCAATACACTAATACACATAAAATAAAATAAAATAAAAATGATAAAATATTCAAAAAAGTATAGATAGGTTTGCTCATATCTTCAGTTCTTCTAGTTACATAGAAGGTAACTGTACTATGTTAAACACTGCTCTGACTACCAGGGCTGTGGACCTGCACTGCTTTGGAAAGGAACCCTGGGAACTGTAGTACTGGTTGCTTTAGGGAGGAGAGGAGAGGAAGGGAGAGGTTTTCTTTTTTTCTTTCGTTTTTTCCTTTTGGTCTTTTTTTGAGACAGGGTCTCCCTGTAGCCCCAGCTGTCCTGGAACTCACTATGTAGACCAGGCTAGCCTCAAACTCACAGAGATCCGCCTGCCTCTGCCTCCCAAGTGCTGGGACTAAAACTGTGCACCACCACGCCCAGCTGAGAGATTTTCATTGTAAAGCAGTGTATCTCTTTTGAATTTTAGATCATGTGTATAGAAAAAATAAGATTATTAAAATAGGGTTAAAAATGAATAGGAACTCTGATAATCTTAGATTTCAGAAAGGGAACATTGAGACAATATCAGGTTTTTACCAGTGAAGAGCCCCTGATCACTAGCATTTGCCTCTGGCCACTAGTGTTTGTCCAGGACCTGTAGTGCACTCCCCCAGGGACTGTGCTCACCTGACTCTCATTAACTTGGAGGCAGGAGTTCCTACAGTTCCCCATCCCACAACATGAATCCCAAAGGGGATTGACACATTGATTTCTTAAGTCACAATGGGAAACATCACTGACAGTGGACCAGAATGCTCTTGGAGAAGAAACAGTTTACTGGTGGGAGGTAGGTGCTGACCTTTCCTCAGAGCAAGGGCAGGAGGTGAGGACCAGGCCACTGAGAACTCAGGAGAGGAGGTTTCTTTGTAGCAAGTTAGTTGGGGAACAAGAACATGAACTGGGGGATGTTCTGGATGGACCCTTTGCTTGCCATTGTTTCTGAAGAAGGGGAGACCAGGTCTGGAAGCAGCACCCTGGGGGGGTCAGGGCAGTCCCTCTAGCTTGAAGAGTTCTCTGGGACACAAGGCCTTGGAGTGCTCAGAGCCAAATGGAGCGATGATGTTTCAGCCAAGTGCCAGGACCTTTGGGATAGGGGAGGGAATGAGTAGGAAAGGAGGGAGGGAGACACAGTCACCCTGGGGTTTGGGATGGGGGCAGATCATTCCAGAAGTGTACAGGGAGGACATGGAATACAGTTTGATTTTTCTTTTTAAAATTTTTTTTAGATTTCCCACTTTGGTTGAAATCTAAGCCTATGCCCAGGGGATGAAAAGTAGTTTAAGCCATTAGGAAGGTAAAACCCTCCAAAGAGTAAAACTATACCACACATTTCAAGCAGTTTCTGGAATCATGCCAAGACCTTCCAGCTTTGAGTGGCTGGGGTTTCTCCCTTTGTAAAGGTCTCTCCCTCGCAGACCTTCGCCATACTGCAAGCCTGTGCAGGGACATACCAGGCAGGGCTGGTTCTTCCCATTTTGGGAGGGACTATGATGCAGATAGACTGTGCTTTGGGCAGGAGCATGGCCTGGACTTCCAGAGACTCCTGGATGCCAGCACCTACAAAGAGGCCTATCGGAGGGACATGATCCGCTGGGGAGAGGAGAAGCGCCAGACTGACCCAGGCTTCTTCTGCAAGAAGATTGTTGAAGGCGTGCTCCAGCCCATCTGGGTAAGAGGGCCCTGCCATGGTGTGAGGAAAATCCATCCTCTCAGCCCTTCGCTGTACACATTTGTTATCTCCACTGTCACCCTTGTCCCAGTCTCCAGCATCTCACCCAGCATCTCAGTAGTCCCCACTTTGGTCCATGTCTCCCACTCTTGCTTCTGTGAGCCATTTTTTTAAAAAAAATACTTATTTTTTATTTTATGTGTATGAATGTATTGCCTGCGTGTATGTATCTGTGTCGTGCATTGCCTATGGAGGTCAGAAAGGGGTGTCAGATTCCCCTGGAACAGGAGCTATGGATGCTCGTTAGCTATCATGTGGGTGCTAGGAACTGAACCCACCTCCTCTGTAAGAGCAGCCAGTGCTCTTAACTGCTGGGTCATCTCTCCAGCCCCAGTAAGCCATTCTTATTCAACAGCCAGAGTGATGTGTTAAGAACGTGTCAGTTGCTGGCATGTTTAGAGTGCTCCAGTGGCTCCCTGCCATTCTAGGAGTGGAGTCTGAGTCTTTCATGTGAATTCTGGGCCTGTGTGATGCAGTTACTGCTGCGCTGTTCTCCTTACTCCTGTGCTGCAGCCCCCACTTGCCCCTCTCACATGGATCACGCCTTTGTGTGCGTTCTTCTACCTGCTGTCCCTGGCCTTCCTCACCTGGCTTGCTCCAGCATCTGCATGTCACCTCTGTGGGGAAGCCTTCCTTGATACCCAAGTCTTTTTTTTTTTCCCTTTCTTTTTTAAGACAGGGTCTCATGTAGCTCAGCCTGGTCTTGAACTTCCTAAGAAGCCAAGATGACTTTGAACTTCTGATTCCACCTCTGATTCCACCTCTGCTTCCACCTCTGCTGGGATTGCAGGCATGCATCACCCTGCCTGGCTCCCCAAGCCTTTTTTTTCAAATATTTTATTATTTTTATTTTATGTTATGAGTGTAATGCCTGCATGGAGGTGGGTGCACCCCTGTCGTGCAATGCCCACAGAGGTCAGAAGGGGGTGTTGGATCCCCTGGAACTGGAGTTACAGACAGTTGTTAGCCGTCATGTGGGTGCTGGGAATCGAACCTGGGTCCTCTGTAAGAGCAGCCAGTGCTCTTAACCACTAAGCCACCTCTCCAGCCCCCGAGTCTTAACTAGCACTCCCACAGTGCTCTATGCTATACTTTATTCATTCTCACAGTAAATGCTGAGTATCTTTTGCAGGCACTGTTCAGGGTTCTGGGAATGTGTTGGTGCAAAATGCAGTGAAGACTCGACCTTCAAGGAACTTAATCTATAGCTAGGATGGGGGATATAGGTGCTGGTTAAGTATAGCGTATGCCAGGTGGAACAAAACAAAGCAGGCCAAGGTATGTGCAGGGTGGGGAAGGGCTGCTCTTTTAAGTTTGTCAGTGAAGACCTTATTCATAAAGTGACATTGGAGCCTTTCCTGAATGGACATAAAGCTGAGTGAATAGATAGCTGGGGAAGTAGCTTTCTAGAAAAAGGGACCTGGAGTAAAAAGCCTTGAGAGGGGTTCTATCTGGTATGTTTTAGGAAGAGCCAACATGGTGTCCTGTGGGAGATTAAGGGCAGATCTTGTAAAGCCTTGGAAGAGTCTAGAAGTCACTGGGGAGTTTTCAAAAGAAGAGACATGATTTAGGAATTAAAGGGCAGCTTGGGGTATAGGTCACGTGATGGAACACATGTTTAAGCACCTGGACTCCCTCCCCTTGAGGGCTGGGAGATGGCTCAGTGGATAAAGCACTTGTCATGCAAGTTTGAGGACTGGAATTCAGATTCCTAAAACCCACATTAAAAAGTCAGAGCGATGCCTCAGAAGTTAAGAGCACTGGCTGCTCTTACAGAGGATCTGGGTTTGGTTTCTAGCACCCACATAATCACCTGTAACTCCAGTTCCAGGGAATCCAACATCCCTTTCAGGCCTCTGTGGGCACTTTACACATGTGGTGCACTTATATACATACATGCAGGCAAATACTCATACACATAAAATAAAAATAAGTCTTAAAAAAAAAAGGCACTATAGCTAGGCATGGTGGCACATGCCTTTAATCCCAGTTCTTGGGAGGCAGGTGGACCCCTGTAAGTTCAAGGGCAGCCTGGTCTATATAGCGGGGTCCAAGTCAGCTGGGACTACAGGGAGACCAAAAGACCCCCCCCCCAAAAAAAGGTGCACCAGGCTGGGGGTCAGTGAGATGGCTCAGTGGGTAGATGTCCTTGTTGCCAAACTTGCCTATTTGAGTTTGGTCCTGGAGACCCATAAAATGAAAGGAGAGAACTGACTCCTGAATGTTGTCCTTTGACCTCCATTTGTGCAGTGTCACATTCATGCACATTTAACAACTCCCCCTGCCCCCACAATAAATGTAATTAGAAAGAAAAGCCAGGTGGAGGCTGGCAAGATAGCTTAGCAGATAAAGGTGCTTGCTGTCAGCTCTGATGACCTGAGTTCAGTCCCTGGAACCCACATAGTAGGAGAGAATTGACTCTTGCAAATTATCTGCTGACCTACACACACACACACACTGTATATTAAAAAAGCCATGTAATCCCAGCCCTTGGGAAATGGAGACAAGGGATCTTCAGCGAGCTGGCTAGTAGCTACACTAGCCAAATTGGTGAGCTTTAGGTTCAGTGAGAGACCCTGATGCCTTAGTGAATAAAGTGTGATTGAGGAAGACACCTATTATCAGTCTTTGTCTCAACATGCACACACACACACATATACATAGATATATTCATGTGCCTGCACACACATATGCCCCCACACATGTGAACTTACATATATGAATACACACCACACACACACACATTAACACAAAATCCCACACCTGGGTTTACAGGTGTGGTGGTGCATCCAGTACCCAGGAGGCAAAGGCAGTTGAGTCAGTTGAGAGTTCAGGGTCATTCTCAGCTACATAGCAAGTGTGAGACCAGCCTGGGTTCATGAGACCTCGTCACAGAAAACAGTCAGGTGTGGTGGTTGCACACCTTTAGTCCCAGCACTCAAGAGGCAGAGGCAGGTGAATCTCTGAGTTTGAGGCCAGCCTGGTTGGCATAGAAGGTTCCAGACCAGCCATAGCTACATAGTGAGACCTTGTCTCAAAAACAAACAAAAAAGCAGAGTATTTAAAAGACTTACTCTGGCTGCTGGAGGGTAGGTAGGAGCAGGAGCAGAGGGGCCAGTGGAGGGTCTTCTGTGACAGGCCGATGACCTGCCAGAGCCCAGAGCTGTGGGAGAGTGTAGAGAGGGGCCTAGTTTTGCATGTATTTTGAGGACAGAGCCAGTAGGAGTTGTGTAGGGTTATGGGGTGGAAGGACAATGAATTTTGTTTGAGGAAGATGTGGGAAGGACAGGAGAGATCAGAAACTTGAGAACCCAGGAACTGAGTTTTAGCCATGTTGCCACCCATCCACCTGCACTGTCATCCCTGGCTATTTGGGAAGTTGTTGTATATCCTGGGTCTCTCTTGTTGCATGGCAAACTCCAACTCCAAGAGAGCAGGGCAAAGTGTGTTTTGCTTATGACTCCATCCTCAGTGTCTGGCACAGTGCTGGCACACAGTAAGTACTCGGCAGTGTCCTCTGTTTAGTACTGTGACTGAGTGACTGAGCTTCCTAGCAGGTGGCAGTGCTCAGAGGTTCAGTGAGTGGTTGAGTCAGGGAACAGAGACTGTTCCCATGTTCACAGTGATGGGGTTGGAGCTGTACCACCAAGGTGGGGGGGGGAAGTTTCTGTAGCCCTCCTTCCCCTCTTCTTGTCCCTTCTTCCTCTTCCCCTTCTTTTCCTTCCCTGCCCCTCCTTTTGTCCTGTGTCACCTGTCTGTATCCCTTCCCTGCAGCTGGTGAGTGACACACGGAGGATATCTGACATCCAGTGGTTTCAGAAAGCCTATGGGGCTGTGACACAGACAGTCCGTGTGGTAGCCTCAGAGCAGAGCCGACAGCAACGGGGCTGGATGTTCATACCAGGTAGGCCGCTCATAGCATTTATTTCCAAGGCTCAAAAGAAAAGTCAGCCACATCTGTGCTCACCACCCCATGACCCTCCCCCTTTGCTTTCCAACCTGTTGGGAGCTGACAGTGATTGGTGAACAAGCTGGACAAGCCCTACTCCTGCTTGATTGACACACCAGGGGGCTAGACAGACAGCCTTCCAGCGCCCTCAATGGTGCCAGCCTAGGACCTGCTGTGCAGATATAACCCAGGCCTCTGCCCCATTCCAGGTCGCTGTCTCTTGGACACACTGAGATCTGATGACACACACCCCTACTAACAGCTCATCTCTTGGGCACTTGGGCAGGCCAGCCTGTGTCGGGCACTTCATACACATCCTTTTGCTTTCCCACTGCAGCACAGCCACCATGTGGATGCTGTTGTTCCTGTACTCATGGCAGATGAGAGCCCCAGCCCACAAGGTGAAGGTTCTTTCTCAGGGCCATAGAGAGGAGAGCCACCCTCTCATGTACTTCTAACCCTGTAGACACAGCCTCCTGGGAGGATCCAGTCTGGCAGATGTAGGGGCAGAAACAGACTTGTCAGCCTGGCCTAACAAAGTGTGATGCCCTTTTGGGTTGTCTATAATTTTAGATGACCCACTGTACACTCTGTAGGCAGTGGTAAAGGAGGAGTAATCTTAGTAAGGAATGATCTGAGGGCTCAGCTGCATCATAGTGTTGTTTGGTGGGCCATTGCTCTCTGGGTGGCTGGAACCTTGGCTCTGGGTAGAAGAGGAGAGGCAAATGGTAGATGCCTGGGACTTGTCTGGAGGGTTGGGGCCTGACTCCTCCATTCATCCTCCACAGGGGTAGACGATGCCGAATCAGAATGTGGCCTGGACAACTTCGGGAGCTTTGACTGGGTCATTGAGAACCATGGAGATGAGCAGTGCCTGGAGAATCAGCTGGAAAACCTTCTGGAATTTATCCACACCAGACTTTAGTGAACAGACTCTAGGAGTGAACACAGCATGCTGGGCCAGGGCAAATGCTGGCTCTGCCAGATGCAGAGTTCCCAGTCCTGGTGGAGGTCAGGGGTCAGACAGGCTGACTCTAGATTTGTGGGGGTGATACTGGTGGATGTCTGGAGACCTCTGAGGTGCTTGTCTTCTCTAATGAGGATGCCCTGACTCTTCAGGAGACTTAGAGGGCAAAGGAAGGTGCTGGTGATGTTGAGGCAGAACATTGCCATGCCCTTGGGTGCCAGGCCTGCTGACTTGTGGTGGCCTAACTTCCCTATATAGGTTCTCTTGGCCTCTTGTTCTGGGCAAGACCCAAGGCTCTTTGATGTGAACCCTAATAAACCTCCTTGGAACTCACACTCAGAGCTGGAGACCTTTCATTTCCCTGACACCAGCCTGGACTGTTTGGGGCTCAGCAAAGCCAGGGGTGTTGCAGTAGCTGTGGGCCCCAGCTCTGCCTGGCACCACGCTGAGATGAATTCTGCAGAGGTTGACCTGTGCCTACAACCCACGAATCACAGGCCCATTTGTGTCACAGGTGGGGTTAGAGTCTGGGGGTCTTGCCCTCTGGTCTGGCTCTAAGAAAGGCTCCTATAGGCAACATCACTAGCATGTGCTCTTATACCTACATAGCTTTTCCTGATTTCTTAGCTGCTTGGGTACTATGTGAAGTGGGTAAGGGAAATCATTTCCCTGTGTGTTTTATAGATGACAGGAACTCAGAGAAGTGAAACACCTGGCCCAGAGCTAGCGGTTGATAAGTGTCTGCACTCACAATGGAATGTGAAATGGGTGATGCTCGCAGCCCCTCTGCCACTTTCCTGTGTATGGCACCAAGTCCATACACCCCAATTCTCAGCCTGGCTTCATTCTCTCACATAGTCTTTCAGTTCTTACAGATAAGGGGCCAAACAGAAGAAGCTGATAATTCACTGTCACCCAAACTAAACTTAACCTATTTCTGCCCTCATCTTACAACCTTTACTAGGTACTGGGCACTGAAGACACAGATGAGAATGCCACAGACCATTTCTTACAGAGCCCTGTCAGGAGAGACAAGTATACCCTGGGACTTTAGAGTACTGGGGACTCGAAAACCAATACCAGAAAGAAATTCCATGGGAAAGGTAGCCAGGATTCCCTTAACATCCCAAGCCTGATGTGCATGGTCCCTACTGCTTAGGAATTCACCTTTGAATATGTAACAGAAACTTATGAATGGTCCCAGCTACAGAAATGACCCAAAGTCATGAGGTCAAGTCCTCCAGTGTGGGAGGTAAAGTCTTTGAGTCACACACCTGGTACTGTTCAAAGCAGTCAGGGGGAGGGAAGGACACACTGCTTCAATCTAAGAGGACTCCCCTAGCAGAAGCCTCAAGTTGACGGGTCCCCAGTGTAATTGGTGCAGCCATGGTCTGAGCTTCCCATAGGCTGGCATTTTTACATTCCTGACTCAGTTGCCCCATTTGAAAGATGAGCAAACTGCTGGGCATGGTGACACATGCCTTTAATCCCAGCTCTGGGAGGCAGGGCAGGCAGATGTCTGTGAGTTCAAGGCCAGCCCCCACTACAGGGAAACCCTGTCTCAAAAACACCAAAAAAAAAAAAAGAAAAGCAAACAGACTAAGCTTACTATAAAACTCACTTAACTGGGACTACCAGTTATTAATGAGAGAACTGGATTCCGAGCCCAGCTGGGGTGTCCTGTTATAAAATGCACATCATCCCCACCCTCATGCCTGGGCAGCCACTTCAAAGATTCAAAGAGCCTCATTTGACCTAAACACTGGCACTTTTTCTTGAAAAGTTAGTTTTCTCAGCACAGGCATAGTAGCAAAGTTCTGTGTGAGCTCGTACGGGCAGTATGGGGTAAGTTGTGCTTTCTGCTCTTAACAAGTCCCCCTAATGGCAGGAGGCAGGTGTATATAACTCTGAGGTATCACAGAAGGTATGGGTGTAAAGGAATTCAAAGAGGCATTGCTTGTGCTTGTGGGAGGGCAGGGTGAGGGGACAGGTTGCCTGACCTGCAGAGAGGTGGAATTAAGCCTGTTTTGGGGGGGCTAGTGGAGTTGACACAGGTTGAGATGTCTGGGGAGGCCTGAATGAAGCCCATGCAGGGGACTAGCTAGTGACTGTGAGGGGAAGAGGACAGTGGAATGAGGCCAAGGAGGCCCACAAGACTGAGTACCTGGCTAGGGAGGGAGAGGGGCCATATTGATGGTTTTGAGGAGGGGGTTGGAGGTGGGAAGAAACAAGCTAAGAGGCTTCCACAGGGTTCTGAACAAGAAATGGCAAAACCTGGGGGAGAGCCAAGGTGACTGCACAGTAGATGATGGTGGCTGTCTGGCCTGTTTCTGACTCAACCCACTTGAGGCATATTCTCATCAGCGAAACTGGCTCTACTCCAAAGAGAGCAGGGGCGCTGTGTTGAGCCAGGTTAGAACTTCCTGGTTGGAGATAAAGAGCACTTATCACATGTTGTGATGACCTGCTTGATTCAGCCTGGCTTGTGTAGCTGCGTCATGCATTCTACCGTGTGAACTTCATGGATATCCAACCATTGGCTGGTGTGGCTCTAAAAGCTCAGGGTACAACTGTAAGAGAGATGTGGAGTCAGCTGTTAGAGAGTTTGTCCTCTAGTAAGAAACCCAGGAATCCACAAGGTGGATTCGATAGAACCTGGGCATTGAGTGACCCAGGAGGCGGGATGAGGGCCCGAGGCCTGAGTTCAGTGTTGTTCATAGGGGATGTTCTTCTGTGTGAGGGCACAGAAGGTACCTCCTTAAACATTTTTTAAAATTTATGATTTATTTATTTATTTTAAGACAGAGTCTCCCTGTATCCCTTGATTTTTTTTTAATTTTTATTTGTTTTTAGTTTATGTGTATTAGTGTTTTGTATGTATGTAAATGTACCTGTGTCATGCAATGCCCAGGAAGGCCAGAAGAGGGTGTTGGATCCCCTGTAACTGTAGTTATACATGGTTGTTAGCTGCCATGTGGATGCTGGGAACTGAACCTGGGTCAGTGCTCTTAAACACTGAGCTATCTGTCCAGCCCCCTCCTTTCTTTTGAGTCAGGGTCTCTGTAGCCGATGCTGGCCTGAAACTCATTTTGTAGTCTAGGGTGTCCTTGTGCTTGCAGTACACCTGTCCCAACCTCCCAAGTGCTGAAATTACAGACATGAACCCCCCACTCCTGGCTATTCACCTTTGAAGGTAGTCAGCCTTTGCCTTCACAGGAGATGGGGTTCAAAGCTCTAGAGGGACATGAACCTGTCATCTATTGAGTGTGATACCAGAGGAAGAGCCCACTGGTTGCTATTGAGTCTAAAGAACAAAGGGGCAGAGAGGAAGCAGACAAAGGGCTTGGGACAGGTGGAGCTCATGTCCTCTAGGAGGAGATCTGCTTTCCTGACTCTGGGAGTGTGTACAAGTAACTTGACTTGGAAGGCTAGCAGATTCATTCCCCCACTTTGGGATATCTTGGCACTGATGTCTCAAATGGAGATTTGAAATTCCAGCATTCTCTGCTAGCTGACATTTCTCTAAAAATGATTTAAAAAAAGAAAGATGGAACTGGAGAGATAGCAGTCAAATGCCTCCTAGCATTCAGGAGGCAGAGGCAAGTGGCTATATGTATGAGATCAAATAGTGAGCTCCAGGTCTGCCGGGGCTACAGCAGACCCTGTCTCAAAAAAGACAAAAATAAATAAATAAAAAATAAAATAAGCTGGGCGTGGTGGCACACACCTTTAATCCCAGCACCTGGGAGGGAGAGGCAGGCAGATCTCTGTGAGTTCAAGGCCAGCCTGGCCTACATATGGAGTTCCAGGCCGTATGGGGCTACAGGGAGACCCTGTCTCAAAAAAAAAAAAAAAAAAAAAAAAA